AAAAAAAAAAAAAAAAAAAAAACAATTATTGCAAATAAATCAAATCGCAACTGCAATAGGCCGAATTAATGTATGCAAATATTATTGAAGACAAAGACAACAACAAAGAAAATATAAAAAATAATATTAATTTAACGCTATATTACAATAAGCAATTTAGAAAAACAATAATATGGCAAGCGAAGTTTGGGGGAAATACACGCAGGGGGAGCACGGAATGAGACAAATAAAATAAATTGGCAAATTTATGATTACAATTATTTTTAAATAAAGTCGAAAGCATACGCAAATATTAATTATTGTTGTTGTACTCTATTTTTCAGTAGTGGAAAAACTTATGAGATTTTAGCAGTAAAAACTGGAAACAGCAAGAATAAAATATTATCCAAAGCCGCAGCTTTTACAAAACACAAAAACGCTGTTCTTGTTGTTGTAGCAGCAGAAAACATTCTCAAATTAATTTCGAGGAATTGTGCCGGGTTGACAGTCTTGGCTGGTTAAAAATTCAGGTCCGTTCCGGTTATTTAGACCCAACTGTTGGTGGAACGGCGAGTTTGATCGTTCAATTTGTATAGCAGCTGTATGCTATAGTCCGATCTGAACAATTTGTTCGGAGGTTGTACCGTTGCCTTAAAAATACCCTATGCAGTATTTCGTGAAGATAGCATAACAAGTAAAAAAGTTGTCCATACACGAACTTTATTTGGACCAAACAGCTTGGTAGAAAATCGTTCTCCGAATTTTTGTTAGTTTCACGTCAAGCGTAGACATCCTAAATGATGGCTGGTCCTCTTGACTTGCCAGATTAACTTAACCTAACCTTTATTAGTCTCAATTTATAACCAAACACCTTTGCATCCTCGTTGTTTTTGGTTTTGTAGTTGCTGAAAACATCACTGCAGTATTTGGAGAAATAGTGACAGTGCTTGGCCGGTAAAAATGCCGTATCCATTCTGATTAAGTACCTACTGCCGCGGGGACAGTTTATCTTCAGTTTCACTGCTAATTTATTAACCAAGCAAAATCTGTCACTTTATTAGAAGGCTTTTCACTCAGTAAAATAAAGCATGTTGACAGTTCATGGACGGGCATAAATTCAACTTATGGTACTTAGTTTTTCTTATTGGTAGGACAGATGATTTCTATTATACAATTTCCATTAGAAAGAATTATAGCAAACTATATTTACCAAATACACTAAACAATATTTAACATACTATCAACACTTGTGTACGCGAAATTAAAAAAAAAAAAATTAAGAAACTTAAAACAAGCACACCACACCGCAATAAATTCTAATTATTTAAGTTTCTTGCTAAAAAAATTTTGATTACTTGAATTTGATTGCTGAAATGCTTTTACGATGTACTGATGTCTGTTATATTGTTGAAATGTACTCTTGATATTGCTGCGCGGATATTTTATTATTATAACTTTTTCAGGCACACTCAGCTACATAAGCTAACAACAAACAATTTTTTCATACTTCAACACTAATTTTTTAAACAATTAACTTTTCCTTAACAAAATGTTCAGAACGATTGAGATGCACAAAGAGCACAGAGGCAGCCAGGCGCGCTTGCAACTCTTGTTGACTTAGATCATGCGCCCATTCAACACGTCCCCAAAATTTCGCCTGATATTCTTCTTCAAGGCGGGACAAAGCAGCAGCCTTATCAACACTTAAGCGCTGATCGATTGCAGCGAATGCAAGTAAAACCGATTTTAAAGTGTCCACAGCGTAAATGAAACCTGCAAATTCAAATATTAAGCAAACCTTATTGGTAAAAGTATGCAGTTGAACTCACCAAATAGTACGTCTTCACTGTGCGACAGTAAGTATTTCGAAACTTTCGCTTTGTCGTCAGCGCTCACATTTGGTGGCGACATAACCATAGTTTTTTCTAAATTTGTGCCGTAGCGCTCATTGAACCATTGTATTACTGGATCCCATTCGGTGCGTTGTAAGTCGTGTAATTCTTTTTCATCCTAAAATTGTAATATTTTTCACATTATAAAGCTTTAAACAATTACAGTGCAGTATGTACTCACATCGTACTGAAAGAGCACTGTGTCCGTCGCAATATAATTGAGTATATAATTCACCATATCGGTTTTTGTGTGCCGATTCGGATTGTCTAGTGCGGTGAAGCACAATGCAGACAAGTGCATTTTGGATCGTTCAATATGCTCCTTTTGTGCATCAAATTCGGTGGCCACAGCTATTGCCAGCGGCTCACTTTTCACTGTGAACAATGTGCCATTTGGTGTCTTCAACTTTCGACTATCCAACGTAACTTCATATTTGCCGTCATTATACAGTACTGAGGTTTGCTTATAGAAGCGTTTCGGTGGCGCGGCTACAGTTAGAAATAGAGGAAATTAAAAAACCTACGCAGGAAACGCCAATTTCAAAGTATTAAAATTACCGTAAAACCTTTTTGGCATCGACTGTGCCACACTGAAAAGTGTTGTGGCGGGATTTCTTAAGAATTTATATAAATTATTCATTCTGGTATTTATAATTTTATGTGATAAATATTTTTAGGAAAACAAAGTTACGAAAGAATCAAAGTGCCGGTCAAAATAAGCCTAAACACACTTACGGTTATGATAAAAGACAGCTGTTTGAATAAACTTGCATACATTGTTGCATTGCGTTAAAGCGTTCGGAAAGTCGTAGGGAAATTTTCAAGGACGATATTTGTATACCGCCTATGTTAACTTCTTGTATGTATGATAAGTTTGCAATATATTTTAGATGTAAAATTAAATTTTCAATTTAAAATAATATAAATAAAATATTAATACGATTTTTAGTAAATATAGGAAGTCAGCAAATAAAGCAAAAATTTAATTCGAATATGAATTCATTACATTTATGTAATCACACACCTTTATTATGACACTAATCCGCAGTTAAAATCACCATGTAAGTAATTTTAATTTATAAGTATCTTTATCTCAATATCTACGTATTCATTCTTGCATATATGCTTTACACATATATATACTATATTTAACAACGGTTTGTATGCAGGTTTGTTGTAGTTTTTAATAAACTCTTTGATCCGGCAACGCGATTTTATCAGCCGAAATTTCCTCTGCCCAACAGAACCGCAGCCAATATTGCTAGGATATTTTAATGAAAAAATACAGCTTGGTTAGTGGAGGATATACCGAAAATTTTGTGCTAGAAATATAAAGTTAACGATTTTGCGTAAAACATATTAAATTATTTACAAAAATGAGCGTTGAAGAAGAAGTATTCAAAATACAGAAGAAAATGCAGAAGATTACATCGAATGATGGCACGGTATGTAAATAAAGTACAGTGGTGCTGTTTAGGCTAAGCGGTTCTTACCGCCCGGGAGTATGTGTTACAAACATATTTGTTGTGTTGAGGGGTTACTAAAATGCGCGCGCTAACTTGGTTATGCCTACCAGTAAAATATATAAAATTTAAATTCAGCATAATTGAAATTAATGTCTTAATTGGATTTTAATTATATTTCAGGGGCAAGAGCAAGCGTTGGATTTGCTGAAAGCATTGCAAACACTCAATATCAATTTGGAGATTTTAACCAAAACGCGCATTGGTATGACTGTAAATGAGCTGCGCAAGAGTAGCAAAGATGAGGAAGTGATTGCATTGGCTAAAACATTAATCAAAAATTGGAAAAGATTTCTTGCCGCGCCGGGTGGTTCAAGTGGCAGTAGCACCAAAGAGTCGTCTGCTAGCAATAACGTGTCTAAATCGTCATCAAGTAGCAAAACGAATTCTTCATCATCTAGTAAGGATAAAGAAAAGAGTTCGTCAAGTTCATCTAAAGATAAAAAGCGTGACGATGAGAAAAAGTCCAATTCGAGTTCATCATCATCGGCAAAAGACGAACGTCGACCACTGCAATCATCGTTTCCCAGCACTGGCGGTTTAACCGATGCTGTACGCCTAAAGTGCCGTGAAATGCTCTGTAATGCGCTTAAGGTTGGTGAAGTGCCGGAAGGTTGTCCAGAACCGGAAGATATGGCTACCGAATTGGAGGAGGCAATTTATATGGAATTTAAAAATACTGACATGAAATACAAAAATCGTGTACGTTCGCGCGTAGCAAATTTGAAAGATGCAAAGAATCCCACCTTACGTAGTAATTATATGTGCGGTGCCGTTACGGCACAACAATTAGCGCGTATGACGCCCGAAGAAATGGCTAGTGATGAAATGAAGAAATTACGCGAGAAATTCGTTAAAGAAGCTATTAATGACGCTCAGTTGGCTACAGTACAGGGCACAAAGACCGATCTACTTAAATGCGGTAAATGTAAGAAACGTAACTGCACATATAATCAATTACAGACACGTTCCTCCGATGAACCTATGACAACATTTGTCATGTGCAACGAGTGTGGTAATCGTTGGAAGTTCTGCTGAAGGCAGCACTCAGTTTTTACTAAAAGGCAGAGTCATTTTGTTCTTAAAAAGATTTACTTATTAATATATGAGTTAAAATTTTATTTACAAACAACAAAAATGCTACGCAGTATCTACGTACTTTGTGAAAATTTCTGTTTTATTTTTTATTATTAATATATATAATTAATTATAAAGCTTCAATTAAAATTAAAGCATAAAAATATTAATTTAAAATGGTGGCACATTTTATTTACTCTATTCACGTGTTGCGGTTCATATCAGCTGTCTGTGGCATTGATAAAAAGCAAATTTATGGCATGGTTTCGAAACAAGAATTTTTACGCAATTACTTCAAATAGGAAAAGTTAGTAATGTTAAATAAAAAAGTTAATGTAATCAAGTTATTAGAATTTATAATAGTTTTTTTCTGAAAAATTGTTTTTTTTGTTCAGCATATAAACCAAATTATTTCTCTACACAAGGATTATTTTCGTGATAAATTATATTTTCTAATTTCGAATGAATTTTTTTAAGTGCTTAACAAATTTGAAACGTATTACGGTTGCATTAAAATAAGCAACAAAGCGGGTAAGTACAACGCGACGGTTCAGGTTAGGATACAGGTTCGTACCATAAGGAGAGGACTCTTTAAGTGGGTTGAGCATGCAAGGAGATGAATAGTTGGCGATCTAACCATTTAATGGAATGGAGACATGAAAGTCTTATATAATTAGAATGAACCTCGACTTTTTTCTTCTTTCGTATTTCAATAGTTATAGCTTCAAAAAGAAATGTATATAGCTTTCTAAGTGCGAACTCTGGATCAGCCAATTTCTTAACCTTAAACTAACCTTTAAAAATAACATACTAAAATTTTAAATCGTGATGTCGAACAGTTTTTGAGTTGCAGCCATATAAAATGTTCCATCAGGTTACCTTTCTTTTTATCTTTCAAACCTGACAATATTTTCTAACGGATATTTTTTTCAGTTTCAAGCATAGAGAAGGCCGAAATCACTGCAGCAAGGAAAGACCTTGTTTTTAGCGGCGTCGAAGATCGCGTGTTTCTCGAAAAATATGAAATTTTTTACAAATTTGGCATTATTTTAAATTGAGGCTCTTAGAATGCCATTCGGGTTTCGGTTACAAATATGATATTGAATAAAATAGTAAACGTTTTTGTTTAATATCCATAACTTAAACGCAATTTTTTTTCTTAAAACGATATTTTCAGGGTCGGTGAAGAAAGTTTCCTTGATTCCCGCGACAATCGGGTTAACGTAACAGGAACGGACCCGGATTCCCACCAAGAACTGTCAACTCAGCCGAATTCTGCCGCTACAACTTTAAACTTTGACTAGGCTCTCTTAGCTCTTGTATTTGTCAGATAATGATCGAAAGAATACGATATTTGATAAAAATTTCAAATTTTTAAGCTCTTTTGAAGTCATTTTTATTTGGTCAAAAATCAAAATTTTGACTAGTTCTTCGATTATTACCTGGACTTATCTATTTTAACCATAGCTTTTAGATTTTTGATTTTAAGCAGAAAAATACTACCCACCGTCAAATACCAAGCAATTCTAAAAAATTTGTCAAAATGAATAACCAATTATTAAAATGCACTAATTTCCAATAATAATAATTGTTTTTGTTAATTTATGGTATGCAATACCTCTCAAAAAAGAATTTCACAAAAGACGCGTCTTTTTCTAACTTGCAAGTGGATATAATTCTTAAGCCCAGCCCGTCTTATGTACTTTATTCCATTTAGCGTACGTGACTACAAGTAGCTCGAAAACATAGTGTTATTTCCACCATGAAACCCGGTTACTTCTATAAAACCGCTAATCTCAAATCGCTGGCATATTCATTCATCTCTGCTACTCCATAGCTCCGCTGGGAACACCATAGCGGCTTTTGCCGGTTTCTCTTCTTACCCGGTTTGGGTGTTCTCAACAATTAAACAAAAAAAAAACATATTACAACAACAACTGCAGAAGCGCCAAACTTTTGATTAGGAGCGCACGGCTACAACAATAACTACAACACCAAAACCGACACAATGATGATCATGAAGCCGGGCATACAAAGCCACGAGTATTAATACACGTAGTAGAATTGCTGTTGTTGTATTCGTCTTGTTAGGAGTAGTGTCGTGTTGTTAGTAGTAGTGCTCGTGGTCTTTGTAGTGACGGTATGGACAATAGCGGAGTGGGTGCTGCAACGGGGCTAACCAATTGGACGAGTAGTAGCTGAGTATCGGCTCAGTGCCAAAGTCAGTCTGCGTTTACCTGTCGTCGGTTGAGGTTGTGCGAAACGGAATACTTAGTACGTGGCTCGGAAAACAACAAGTGTTAAAGAAGGTAACAGCAAGCAGTGAAAAAAAACAACAAAAAACCGAATAGCATATAGTAAAACACACACATACAAATAAAAGTATATGCTGGCGAATGGTTAGAAATTGGCTAAAAGTGTAGTGTAGTGTGGAGAGAATGTGAAAAGAATGCATATGTGTGTGTGGTATAGAAAACAAAAAAGTACGGTTAAGTGTGGCAGCAGAATTTAATACACACACACATACACTTAATATATTTACACGTACTAAATGATTTTCGTTGAAAAAAATACGTTTATGACGGTGAAGATTGTGAAGCAGCGAAGATTCGAAGCTACTTTTGTATGAGCTGCGGCTTAATGTTACTATTGGCACAAAGCTGCTGTGTTATTGTTGTAGCACGGTATTTATAGCTGTCGTGTAGAAACGTTGTGCTGCCGAGCGGTTGTTTTTTTCTATTTTTTTTAGTATTTTCTTTAGCCATTGACTGAATGGAGATAGAAATGCAAATAAAAAAAAAAATCAACATAATGAAATAAAACAACAAGAAATAAATAAATAAAATAAAGAATAAAGTATAAATTGTGGTTTTAAAACTTAAAAACTTTCGTGCATTAACTAGAGGATCGTAGAGACGCAAAGCGGAAGAGAAGTTTGAAAAATTTGCATAATAAAAATTTTGTTTCGTGGTTGGCAGACAAATTTTGTGAGCCACATTGACATAGACTAGAAGCTGGACGTAACAGCGGCTAACTGTTTATGTTTAACTAGCTGTAGGTGAGTGACTGGCGCAACTTGGTGACTGAATGGCTCAAGTTGGTGACTGACTAGCTTCAGTTGGTGACTGAATGGCTCAAGTTGGTGGCTAATTGGAGCAACTTGGTGACTGAATGGCTCAAGTTATTCACTGACGACTCTGATTACACATAGTCCGAACATGCATGTTGACCCAATTTATGTAACCAGTTCCCAGTTCCCGGTTCCTATGCGAGCAAACACTAAGTGGACCCAAAAATTGTCGCATAGTATCTAAGCAGGCCAAAGTGTAAACCACAAATCGAAAAATTTGAAAAATTAAAATAAAAACGTGCAAGCTTCTACTAACCAGAAAGTGACCTATAAAAAAAATATATACATATATAATATATAATATATACATACATGCAACACGCTGTAAAAGTTGATTGATACTTTTTTTAAACGCGACGTGCAAATGATTTCAGTGCATTCACCTTCAGATAGACGACGCGGAAAACAGTAACAAGCAGAATATTGCTGCCATAAAGTAGGCGGGAAGGGGAAAAGACAGACATGAAAACGAAAGAGGCAAGCAAGCAAATACAATGGCAACATAGTTAGTGTTAACAGCAGCAGTAAATAACAACAAAAGTTAGTAAAAGCATTGCGGTGAAAATTTTCTAGCAAGTCGCAGCGCAGAAGAGCGCGACTAGCCGACCATCAGTCGCAGTCGTAAAAGCAACTAGGCAACAGATGGAACAGCAAAAGCACAGACAAATAACGAAGAAGCAGCTAAAAAAGTATAATATTAAGCTGAGCTGCAGACAGTGCTAGTGCCGAGTGGCAACTAGCAAAATCCAAACGAAAAGTTTAAGAGACTGTGCAGCTGTAGCAAGCTGACGGAATAGCTGTTGCTAGAAGCTGAATGATAACAAGACAAGAAAAAATGTTAGCTTCGGCTCTAATACCCATCGCATTTGCATTTCTCACAACATAAAAGGGTATAGAATCATCTTTGCATTGATTTTGTACGGTCAGTTTGTATGGCAGCTATATGCTATAGTGGTACGATCTGAACATTATTTGCGGAGATTGTAGCGTTTACTTGGATAATAATTCATGCCAAATTACGTACAGATATCTTGTCAAATGAAAAAGTTTTTCATACAACAACTTGATTATGGTCGTTTAGTTTGTATGACAGGTACATATATGCTATAGCGGTACGATCCGGAAAATTTCTGCAGAGATTAAGGCACTGTCATGAAAAATTAAGGACTGTCAAATTTCGTTAAGATATCTTGACAAATAAAATAGTTTTTCATACAACAATTTGATTATGATCTTTCAGTTTGTTTGACAGCTATATGCTATAGTGCTCCGATCTATAAAATTTTTTCAGAGATTATGGCATTGTCGAAAACAATAACATACGTCAAATTTTGTGAAATATAAAAGTTTTCCATATAAAGACTTGATTTCGATTCTTCAGTTTGTATTACCACTATATGCTATAGTGATACGATTTCGATAGTTCTATCAAATATTCAACTTTTTAATAAGAAAAAGAACGTCTACAAAATTTCAGATCGATATTATCAAAACTAAGCGACTAGTTCACTTATATACCGACGGACAGACGGTCAAATATGGCTAAATGGGCTCCATTCGACACGCTGATCATTTCAGCGTATAAAAAGTAAACTTTTCCAATATAAATAAGAGTACGTTGCTAAAGTCGAACTAACTGAAGCTGCGCTGCGGCTATGGAGTGCGAAAAAAGTTGAACGCCGAGGCGCGTGCGCTGAAGCAAAACCGCTAGGCAGCGGTATTAACAGTGATAGCGCACGAAATAAGCGCAATGCATGAAAGTAAAGTGCATAGGTATGTGCGCGCTGCGGCAAGTGGCTACATTTTGCGTGCTGCAAGTCCACCTTAAAGCGTTGCAAAGTCAGCAGGAAAGTAAAAAATTATAATTTCCTTGCACAATATGCATTTCCAATGCTTC